CACATGAAAAGCAACATGTTTGGTTGGCCGTAGAGCCGGAGATATGACAAAAAAAGGATCAGACAATCCTTCTATCATTCATCCAACTTAGTCCCTCTTTTACTATACATAATTATTATTTTTCCAAAATTAAATATATATTTTTCATATAATAAAACTTCCCACTAAGAACTATTCTATCTTTTTTATCAAGTCAGAAATTTAAAACATATTTTCCACACCTTTAAAACAGAATAATACTTTATTTTCATATCATCATATATGTATTCAGTACATATTGCTAATTTACATGGATATTGTCATTTTTTTACACAAATTAACATTTTACTATTATTTTTTAATTTCTTCAAACTAACAGGGTTTTGAAGAAAATCCAGCAACTTAATTTTCCTGATTTAACATTCATACCCAAAAAAAAAAAAACTTCATTTTCCTGATTTTTATAGTTCTACAAATCTGAACCAGTGGAACCAAACCTAAAACATATAAATTGATTTACCCTTTTGTCAAATAATATTAAATCTCTTGAAGAAAAGGTCAAGAGACCAAATAAAATACTCTTTAAAATCATACACATATGTTCAAACCAAATTAAACCGAAAGCAAAACTGATCCTAATTCGCCGTAAGCTTTCACTTTCTCCTAATTAAACTAAATATAATTGATATTTTAATTTAACCGGACAAAATATTTTGAACGGCGGTAATGTGTGGGCTGAATCGGAATTAGATACTCTATCATACCAAATCATTGAAGGGACCTACATGTCTGAAACTGACACGTGTCCAACCTAACAGACAATTATACTGTTTACAAGTTTTGTAATCGGTCTTTCTTTTGTGGATGAGCCTGTGAAGGATCGCATGATGGATGACATCAGAACCACCACTTTAATTTCTTTATTTTCTACTAATCTTTTCAACTTTTCATACACTTATATTCCAGTTTTCTTATTTATACTTTTTTTGTTCACCCCACAAATAAAACGACTTTATTATTGTTATCAACAATTAACATATATTATTATATATG